CCAGTGGAGTAAGATCTGTCACAAACTGTATCTTGATAACCATCTCTTCAGCTGGCCTTCTGGGTGAATGTAGAGCAGCTGCTGCCTCTTTGTTTTAAGTGCTCTTACCACTGTATAAAGAACTGACTTGGGATGGGGAGCCAGAGCCTGTTCCCATGTTGACTTGTGTGAGAGTACAGGAGTTGATACAGTGCATCCCTGGGGAGTCAGTGCTTTATTACCAGCCCAGTTCTCACCTGAAAAGGGTGGCTCCATTGCACACAGGCAGTGACAGACAGCAAGGAGCTGTCACACAATCCATGAGAGCAACATTTGTGCTAAGGGGGAGTGAGGCCTTATGTAGTGTCTGTCCACTGTGACTATCCCAAGTAGTCTTCAATAAATATTAAGTTTTACCCCAGTTGAACTGGGCTGAGTTCTGTCAAAACCAGGCTCCCTTCTTCGCTGAGGAATTATTTTTATTTTCTGTGGAGCTTCCACCACTTTTCTGGCCCATATGTGGACTCTGTCAATTCCTCTGAAAGGCTGTACAACCTTGGTCTCTCCCCTTTCACTCAGAGGTGGCATTAGCAATGTGGAATTTGTCTGCCCAGCAAGGACATCTGCCAAGTATCCTACTCCTAACAGAGAATAGGTAAGGAAAGCACTGTTAATCCTACGCCTGTCAGAGGAGATGGAACACGGCCTTAGCATTAATTCTGAGTATATAAGGGTGGCAGACACTGTTCACAGTGAGCTGAGCTTGTTTGTCAGAGAATTTGGTACACTAGCCTGTCCAGTACCTCCTGCTTCCTCCTAGATCAAGGCTGGACACTGCTTAAACATTTTATATTGGGTTACACTGCTCAGTACAAACCAGTGGTGATGTGGGAAAAGCCCAGCACAATCAAAAGGTGCTTGTGTTGTTAGGCAGCTGCCTGAAGGGACTCCCTACCTCCTCTTTCTCTCCCTGTTTATTCAAACACCAAGGGACTGTTTTGGATAGGAAGGCAGATACCATTTTGATCACACACTTGCAGAAAGGGCAAGGAATTCACTACCAGTGACACAGCACTTAGGAACAAGGGGTGACAGTTTCCTGTGCTAGGAAGTGTCTGATGCAGATCATAAATCTTAACTGAATCTTAAAACTGAAACAGGAAAGAAAATATCATACAAAGCAATCTGTGGCAGAGTCCTTGTAGATACCATTGGTAATCTGAAATTAAACATTTTAGCCTTATCTTTCTTAAGTTCCATAAACAAGAAAGTATCTTTAAGACTCAGTGTGTTAGCATAAGAATGTATTAACTAGAAAAGATAGATCTCATATTTAATTGTCCCAGTTTTTCTCTGGAAGGGCACCAGTAACTGGAGTAGCATCCATGGTAGATGAGAATGGAGATGAAGACAGAAGCCCTTCCAAAGGGCTGGGCCTGCAGAAGTTCTGCTGTGAACAAGAGCTGCAAGACAAAGCTAGGACACACCCAGAGAGTACAGGCAAATAGTGCACCTGAGGCCAGCTGGTTACAGTCCTGAGGTAAAAGCAAACCCTTCCACTGTGCTTCATAACGATGTCTGGGGCCCAATGGTGATGCTGCTGTTTGTCACTCGGATCCCGTACCATCCTGCCCAGAACTGGGTGTCCTGGCCTCCGTGCTGAAACCAGATGTAACGAACTCCTTCTGGGTAATTCTGGAAGGTGTGAGAAATCTGGAGACAGAAGAGAATTCCTCTGAATTTGCGTAAATAAACCAGCGCTCACCTACAAGCTCAGAAAACTACAGTGTGTGAGTCTTAGAATGAGCTCTTCCTGAGCTCAGGTATCTTTCATGGAAAGTGCACCATACCTGCCCTTTCTTCCTTTTTTGGGGGATGGGGAGGGGAAAGAAGCCTTTCTCCTCCCAAAATCCTGAGTTAAACTAACATTAACCTTGATTCTTAAGTGCATGTATACGTAATATCTAATGCAGAATGTACAGTAAATCAAACCAGTTAAACACCTCTAACAGTTTAAGAAAAGTTAAGTCTTCAATACTTGGCTATCCATGCAGTAGTTTTAAAACAGATTTTTGATCCAAAAAAATCCCTAAAATCTGCTCTTGTTATTTAATTATTTAGATATAATATTACATAAAACCAAGAAATAATTAAAAAGACTGCACTAAAACAACACAGAAGCCCACAGGATACTCTAGAAAATGCTGGGCACCTAAAAATAGCACCTGTCTCATTGAGGACACAACTGCTTCTTCAGCATCATCAACAGCAAGGACTGACTCACCTTCTCCATGGAGTAGAGGAGGCTGAAGAGCAGAGAAAGTCCACTGGCACTTTTGGCCAAGTAAGACTTGCAACACACAAATGTCACAACACTGCTGTAAAGCTCCTGCCTCCAGGGCTGCTGCTCACCTCTCTCCACTTGGCATCACTCCACTGCTCAATGACCACTGGCTCAGGGTGGAATTCCTCCAGGACGATGTAATCTTCGGAGAGCAGCCTCACGGTGAGCTCGTAGCGGCACCCGCAGTCAAACCTGGCAGCGTACCTGGAGAGGCAGGAGGAATCAAGGAGCAGGGCTGTGTATACAGCATTCAGTTCTCTTTATTTTTCAAAAGCAGTCTTCAAGGGGATCCCTGTCTGCAGAGGAAAAGGAATGTCATCCCCACAGCTATAGAGAAGTTATAGAACTTACAGCTCTCCTACCTTTCACAGGATTGCCACCTTGTAGTCCACTGAGTAAGTTTAGATTTAGTTTATTCTTTACTCAAGAACTACACCTCTCAAAGAATAAAGAACTGAATTTTTAGCATGAAAAGTTCCAGAAGCCTAGCTTACCTCTAGACCAATGCCAGTAATTCTTATTTTCAGTGGTTCCACTCACCAGTCCTTGACTGTAATTTCAGGCCGTTTCTCATCCATCAGCTGATTCCAATAGCCTTCTTTCTTCAGGGTAATGAGTTGAGACTTGAAGCATGGCCTGAAACAGACATAGAAATACAGTTCCACAGAACACATCTCTTCTCTCTTGCTGTCCTTTCCCTGACAGCTTTAATACCCACCCAGATCCTGAAGGCCCACAAAGCTAAACCCTGACTTATCCATATCCTTATCCTTAGCAAGAACCTGACAAAAAAATTAACTGAATTAGCTTCACCCCAAGATAAAAATAATAGTTACCTACAAGCTGGATTAAGGGGAGTCTCTGTACTCATGTACTGGTAACAGGAAACCAGTGCCTAGTGCTTGTAAAAGCTGTTGATCCTCCTCTGATGACAGCTTTTATTACAAGTCTTAGTGTGACACACCTACCACTCCTGTAGGTTACAGAGCTTTGACCTTGTCATGTAAGTTAATCGATTAAGTTTCCCAGATCCTTAACCTTTCCCTACCACCTTTGGGAGAGGAGAAGCAGGGATCCCATGTAGATTATCCTAAATACAAAAATTACAGGAAGTTGCTGGTAGGCAGAGATATTTAGCACCTGCTGTGATCAATTCTCTCAGCAGTACCCATCTCTTTAGATTAACTGGCATAAAGGGTTAATGAAGCTCCTTCCTTTTCCCACAGGTGATCTAAGGTTTAGACCCACCAGCAGCCTTCTAACCATGGTGCCTTTTCTGACAGATGGGAGGAAGCAGTTTCCAGTTCCAGGTTACTGGAATCCAGTTCTTACCCATATGAAGTGACAAAGTATTTGTGTACTGTGGGGTCTGGCATATCATTTCCGTGAGCTCCAGGCAGATCCTCAATTTTCCACTTGTCTCCTTCGTTATTATCAAGTGTCCAGTGCTGGAAGTCCTCTAAAAACACAGGTGTCCAAGGTGAGGGTTAGGACCTCACTTAAGCTACCAGCAGGATCTCAGCTTTCATTAGAATCAGCAACAGGAGAATTCTAGGAAGCTGCTTGGTGTTTTCAGATCCACTGTATTTTTCCTACAGCTGTAAGTGACTCCTGTCATTATGCTGCCATTACCTTTAATGTGGCTGTCAGCATCTAGGACAGGAGGTAGCAGATTTCTGACCTCATCAGAAAATCATCAGCAGCAATAAAGTAGGATTAATGTAGTCATATTAATCAAGTCTTTGGTAACAAAAGTTCTCCAGCTGCCCAAATGTTTAATCCCAATACCTGATCGTTTCACTACCACATTGTACTTGCAGTGCAAATTAATTGTCACTGCCTGCTATATTGGAGCCTTATGACTCCAGATTTTTTTGGCTAAAACCACAAAGCATTGGTAAATACATACCTATCTACCTACTGCAGTTTTATTGCAGGAGCTGAGCTGTGAATCTGACCTAGCAGAGCTACACACCCTGGACAGTCCCACAGCACCAGCAGCTGAGGCACGCAGAACACTGACTCATTCTGACTGCTCGGAAACTCTCAGTCCTTTACTATAAATAACGAAACAAACCTTCAGCAGAAGGGTTTTTGATTAAGTTTCTCTTCAAGTGGCAGAGCATATAGAAGATCCTCCAGTCCGAGACGCTTCTGTCCAAGCTCTGACGATAAAACCCATCGCGCTGGCACTTGCGCTTCCACAGGGTGGTGAGGTCCACCACGTACCGCCACTGCGTGCACACCAGCCGGCAGGTGCGGAGCAGGTCCCGGGCGGGCAGCAGCGACAGCAGCTCCACCAGCACGTCCTCGGGGAGGTCGCCGATGGTTGTCATGGCAGACCGCGGGCCGCAGGAGCGCGATGGGAAATCCGCGGCGCCACGGGCCGAGCTGCCGGAAGCAAAGGCAGTTTCGCCACGTTACGGACAGACCTTCGGACAGCCCGCCCGGCCCCAGGCCCGCTGCCCGCCGTGCCCCATGCCCCGTGTCAGTGTCACTGTCCCTGTCCCGGTCCCGGTCCCGACCCCGGCCCCACCTGGCTCCGCCCATCTGCGCCTCCCGGACACGGATGTGCGGGGCTGCGGCCTTTCCGCGGGGCGGGGCGGGGCGGGGCGGGGCGGGGCGGGGCGGGGCGGGGTCCCGGTCCTTTTTAACACCGGAGCCGGGGTCTTTTTTATCACCGGAGCCCGAGTTCCTTTTTATCTCCAGAGCCCGAGCCGCTCTCCCCAGGCCCACGGATCCTGATCGGACAGCGCCGCCCAGGTAAGAGCGCTCGGTGCTCCCCCTGAGTCCCTGCGGGTTTTCTGGGGTGTCTCCTGGGCAGCCGGGGAGAGAGGAGGGACACGCGTGTGTCCCGAGCGCGTCAAGGGGTGGGTGCCACCCGGGAGCATGTCCGTGATGCAAAGCCCTTCACAGCTTGGATAAAATAACTGGAGTGGGAAGGGAAAGGTAACTCTGTCCCGAGTGCGGGAGGAAGCCTGGTGCTCCATCCAGGCAGGGAGCAGGACAGCCTTCTGAAGTTACTGTACGAGATTAAGACAGCATGGTCCCTCCAGCCTGCTTTTAAAAAAATTGCATTTTAGCCTTCGGGACTGTGGTTGAGGGTTGGAAGTGTGGGGAGAAGGGGAAATCACTAATTCTGTCTCCATAAAAGCCAGGGAATTTTAAATCACAGTTTGCCCCTGCTGGGTGCAATGCAGATAGAGGACACATCTGAACGTCTAGATTTAGGATGCTGTTACAGCAGTGACTCCCTATTTCTTCCCTTCCTTGCCAGGTTTGGCGCTGCTGTATTTTGTTAAGTTGCATGCCAGGGTATTTCACCTGTGTTCTTAGTGCTCTCCCAGGCTTAATGAGTCATTCCTGAGGATTTTGGCTGCATCCATGTGGTTTGCTGCAATCTCAGCAGCTTTCCAGCACCAGGACTCAGCTGACATAAAAGCAATGTCACAGTGCATCCCTTACGGATGACATGGGCTCTGAATTTGCACACTCATCTTTCCATTATCCTGCAGCACCCGGACCTGGAACTCAGGGCAGCAGAGAGCTGCTCGGGGTTCAGAAATAGCACATGAAGTTGAAGTAAACACTTCTGGCTTAATTCCTCCAGTTAGGAGGCCACAGACAATAGAATATTGGAGAGCATCATCTGAGTTATTTTCAGTTATGCTCAGACCTTTACTTTATACAGGCTCCTGATTAAGGTGATTAAATGCCAGCACTCTGAGGGAAGCCTGTCAGATACAGAATGAACCACTGCAAAGGTGGCTGGCATGATGCTTAACGCTGATATTTGAGTAGTGCTTTGCAGAATTTGTTATCAGGGTTGTTCTTAAAGGCAGAAAAAGCACCCATGTGCCTCCCTCTGCAGAGGAAATCATTATTAAGAAGCTGATTTTTACAGCAGCAGACATTCTGGAAGGACTGGTTCCAGCCTGGAAAATGAACAAACTGCCCACAGTTGAAGTTGTCAAATACATACATTTTGTGGGCAGATTTAATTCAGGGCTTTTACTTAGAATATAAAAATAGTAATCTGCTTTAGGATATTGAGTTATTAATGAACAGGAGGCCTTGAGGCTAGGAAGCAAAATCATGCCTTCACATAACACATTTCTTTTCCCTTTTTTCTACTGTATCAGTATCTGACATTGCTGAGGGTGGGAAACCCTCACCACTCCTTTCCATCTTTCCCAGACAGCTTTGCCCAGCCTGCCCCAGGGATGGAGTCCCTCCCTGAAGCAGTCCTGATCCGAATCCTGGCTTCCATACCTGCGGTGGATCTGGTGCTGGTGTGCCGCCTGGTCTGCTGCCAGTGGAAAAACCTGGTTGATGGAGCTGCACTTTGGATCCTGAAGTGTCAGCAGGAAGGCATCACCAGAGATGAGTCAGATGCAGAGAACTGGCAAAACTTCTACTTCCTGAGTAAGAAAAGGAAGAATCTCATCAAGAACCCATGTGGTGAAGGTGAGAGACATCACAACAAGCTTCAAGGTGTCTAAGAGATGACGAGCCACTGAGAATTGCAATCTCTAGTCTGAGAATAGATCTTGGTTGCTGTCAGGTTGCAGAATTTTCTCCCTGCTCAAGAGTCAAGTCACTAAATTTGTGCAGCCAATTCATATAATGAGTACAAAGGCCTTTGATAATCAGCCTTTGCAAAGGGCTTTACATGACAATAACTTTATAAAACCTCTGCAGGGATCTAAATCATGTTTGAGACACAAAGATGTCCTGTGCAGAAACCATCCAACACAGTAATGGTCGTGGCATTTGTTTCTGTATTGCTTCTTGCCAAGCCATGACAGGAGAGATGAGCCTTTCCCAGCTCAGGGCCAAGTCTGCCCTCAGCTCACAGAGCCCTTCAGGCTTCTTTCCTGGGAGCAGCTCAGGCCAGTTGTGTTTTTACCCTCCTCACCTCAGCCCATGTTAGAGACTGGGCACACACCCCCTGTGCCATTATTCTGAATCTGTGAACTTCACTTTCCAGAGCTACGAGCTGCTCAGCAATAAGCAGCAGGAACCAAGCCTCACAACCCAAGCAGCAATAATTTCACACATCGTAAACCAAAGCAGTATCAACACAGCTTCCCCATTTTGTTTACAGATGACCTTCTGCAAGCTTTTCCAACATCCAGGTTTCCCTGTCAAAAATCCCGATGTTTAAGGTCTTATTGCTTCAGGAAATACCACTTTTGCTTTAGAAAACTTAGAAATAAAGCAATCAGCATCTGTCCCCAGAGTCTTTGTGTGCTGTGACACTAAAAATGCTGAAACACTGTGCAGAATACCTAAATTATTTTCCTGGAATACATTCTTAAACACTTGTACACAGCCACTTTGCTGGAAATGTTAAAGTTTGGTGTGATTAGGCTCAGTCAGACTAAAGGTTTTTACCTGACCTCTGCTTAAGAAACATATCCATAGTCTACATGCAAAATCAGCGCTGTGTCCAATATCAAACTTTCACAAGCCAGAGGAAGGTTCCAGTGGGACATGGTCAGGTTCCCCATACCCACAGGACTCATCCAAGTCTCTTTTCTGCCATTTGCAGAAGACTTGGAGCACTGGGGAGAGGTAGAGAATGGAGGTGATGGCTGGAAAATTGAAGAGCTCCCAGGGGACTTTGGAAAAGAATTTCCTAGTGAAGAAGTCCATAAATACTTTGTTACATCTTATGAGTAAGGCTGCTTTCTTCTCTTATTCAGGAATGGGGGCATTTTTGGTTCCCCCAGTCGCAGGAGAGACTGTGATACCAATTAACACCTTGTGTTTCAGGTGGTGTCGAAAGGCTCAGGTCATTGACCTGAGGGCTGAGGGTTACTGGGAAGAGCTGATGGACACAACCCAGCCTAAAATCATGGTAAGAGACTGGTAAGTATTAAGGAAGGCTCTGAGGACAGGCAGAGGGTTAAGAAAGGAAAGGAAGAGTAGGGAGGACATAGACCTCATATATATTGGGCTTTAAACTGTTGGAGCACATGAACTCCAGAGCCCAGGTTCCTGTGGTGAATGAGGGGAGGTGGTGGGCTGGACTGAGAACCATGGCAGATTTCCATCTCAAACCAAGGCCACAGTAACTTGGTGAGTGTGGTGGAGCCTTGGCAGAGCTCTTACAGGTAATGCCAACAGCTTGGATGTCCTTGTAGGTATGCAGGACGCAGGGATGCTGGCTGCCTCTATGAGCTGTGTGTGAAGCTGCTCTCTGAGAATGAGGATGTGCTGGCTGAGTACAAAAGTGAGACTGTCACCATCCCACAGGAAAATGATGGCAGCTGGAGTGAGGTGAGTTAATGGGCTCAGCAGGTGATACTTAACTTACGTGAATTAGGAATATTTTTAAGCAGAAAAATTCTCAAAGGGGAGTAGAAGGTTCTGTCATGGGTTCTCTGGAGCCATAACCCTATGACTGAAAAAGGAAAAGGGAGGCTGCTTTACAGGAAACTTGGAAACTTGCTGAGTCACCACTAGCAGGTGTAAGGTGATGTCCACCTGAGACAGTTGTCAATGGAGTGATAAAGTGGCCTCAGAACAATGTGATCAAAACTTCTCCCACTGTAAATGTCCCCACTGTTACTCAGCCTGGTGGGTCTGACTGTGGCCAGTGGGGCTGAAGGCTCTGTGCACTGAACAATGCTAGGTTTGTGGTGGTTTGACACTTACTAACAACTGTTTTGTCTCTTTTCCCAAAGATCTCCCACACCTTTTCCAGCTATGGGCCTGGGGTCCGTTTTGTCCGCTTTGAGCACGGTGGCCAGGACACGCTGTTCTGGAAGGGCTGGTACGGTGTCCGTGTCACCAACAGCAGTGTGACAGTGGAGCCATAGCTGTGCCTAACCAGGATCTGCATGCTGACTTCCCTCAGGGCATCCCTTAGCCTTTGGATGGTTTCTGCATGGTGCTGCTTCTGGCTATAAGGCCTTTCTGCATAGGAACATGCGTGCAAGATGCCAGGAGCCACCACCCATCCTTCCTCAAGAGGACTATGCAAAGAATGTGAATGAATTTGTGAATGCACCACAAGACTCAGGCTCAGCCCTTGCACTGATGTTCTCTGTCAGACAGGAGATCACCTAAAAATCCTGCAGACCTCCTCTCTTACGTCTCTAGTCCCCAGCACCCAGCCTGAGTCAGATCTCTCTCCTGCCCACTTTTAGACTTGGGTACCCTTTAACTTGAAGGGATACTTTAAGTTTATTTTCTGAAAGCTAGTGTGGAAAGAAAAGAATAAAGAAAACCACAGATCAAAACATAGCAGGGAAACCCAGAGCCTGTCCCCAGCTGTTTCCATGAGCTGCAGTAAGAACCTTGGCTTCTCCCATGTATAAATGGGTAACATTGTTTAGCACAGAGGGCCTCTAGCTTGGCTGTCAATGCTATTAGTTTAATTTTTAGTGATAATGCAAAGCAAGAGATACTGAATCCTTTTCTCTTACACTGTTCCCAGCATGCATTTATCAAGGAAAGTGTTGGGAAGAGAAACCTGTCTGGTGTCCAACCCTGGGGCTTCAGTGAGCTCCCTCAGATAGATGGCATCTGAGAATAATTGTTAAGGGAGAGAGATGACAACAACTTAGGGGAAAGGGTTAGAAAAAATTTGGGATAGGGTCCAGGAACAAATGAAAGCAAACTCATTTACCCCTTCCTGGCCTCCGCATGCTTCATGCAACAAGCCTCCTGTCAATCCAGTGTGACTCTGCTAGCAGGACACAGAAAGCTGTTGGCTTTTCCACCTCTACTGACTGTCTGCAAGCAGAACATGTGTGCCTCGTGCTTGCTGACAGGACAGCACTTCATTTCCCACTTGTGCTTCTTGATATCACTCAGGGCTGTGAGCCCCATCCTGAACAGACCCCTAAGCTTTTCTGAACCAAGACTCTCCCTGCTAGTTATTCCACTCAGAAGAGCATCTCCTAACAGAGCTGGTGTTGCCTAGGGAGTGTATTTATATTTTTATATCCATCTGTCTTCCATCCTGGGCTGCCATTTAAGTGCCCCCCTTCATGTGCAGTGACTGCTACTGCCTGCAGCCAAGGGAAAGAGCTTCCCACCTGGACACTGTGCCTGCTACTTCCTCAGGCTTCCTGCCCAGCTGCAGCCAGGTGCCACACACACACCAGAGTCCAGGCAAACATAATAAAGTGACACGATTGTGTGTGGATTTCCTCGTGTGCTGGGTATTTGTCCCCCGTGCTGATTGTGTGGAGCATGTCAGGCAGTTCTCTCTGAAAGCAGGAGTTGTTTGTCGTGTGTAATGCCATGGGTGTCCCTGGAAGAGGTTCATGCTCTGCTCCCCAGCACCCTGGACCTTTGGGAAGCACTTGATGTGCAATGGGTCTGCAGTGTAACAGCGAGCAGAAGTGCATTTCAAACAGTGGGAACTTTCAAGGCACAGAGAAGGTACAGGAAGGATTCTACAGAGTCCAGCCCTGCTGCACACCCTCCAGGTCACTTGTCACTAGCTCTGCTGTGAGTTCAAGCTTAGTTGTGACCCAGGAGGCACCAGAATCAGTTCAGAATTTAATTATTTTCCTTTTCCTTACCCCTGCACACACTGTCATGCAGGGCTGTTTTACCCACCTTTAGTCTTTAATGCAGCTGTTAGTTAATATTCAGCTCCCTGCCAGCTCCCTGCCCCACAGAAGAAACAATCCCTCCATTTGTTCCTAAGGAATCAGTAAAGTGAGAGGATCAATATTTCACACCTCAGTGCAACTGTTAAACTGAACCTCTCCTAAGTCTCCATCTTACAGTCAGGATAAACCTCAGGATTAATATGATATTGTGGCCCTTGTACATAGGAGGTGGGACCATGGTCCCCACTTGGGGTTTATGTGGGCTGAAGCACTAAACACACACAGCCTCCCCAGCAGCTCTGGTACAGTGAATGCAGCTGCCCAAGGCCTTTTCTCCCCTCTCTTTATGCCTGCACCCCACAAGTTCACAGGGCTGTCAGGCAACCTGCAAAGCTTGTCCTGACCTTCCCACTCCCCTCCAAGAGGTGTTTTCCCAGACACTCGGTGCCTGCAGCCTCGTTGCTCGCAGAGCTGCTCACAAAAGCCACTGCTGACCTCAGGGGAGCAATTACTCCTCACATTCAGCCATGTCAGTACTAGATTCCCAAAGCAAGTGAGTGTCTGGGTACATGGGGAAAAAAAAAGTCTTGCTCACATAAATATTTTGTTCCAAATGCCTTTTGAATTTTGATCAAACACTGTAAAATCCGAATACACTGCACCATACACGTACACCCAGTTCCAAGGCGACGTCAATTCAGAGACATAATGGCTTCTCACACCTTACAGACCTCATGGAAATTGAGATGATGCAATTTCATAGGATTACAGAAACTAAGTGTAACTGTGACAAAAGGCCTTACATGTATTAAATCTCCCAGCTACTGCAGGTTGCTGTCACCCACCACTTCAATGTGACTTCTTTCTGCTGGCCAGCACCAGTGAGCAGCTGTGTGGCACTACACAGTATCTTCTGGGAACGCTAGTGACCAATGCAGATGTGTTCTGTACAGACAGAAAAAGACACAAAAAGACACAAAAATACACAAAAAGACACAAAAAAAGACACAAAAAGGTCTGCCCACGTGATTTAGATCAGATATTTGCATCCCCCAGACTCAGAGTATTTAGAAATCTGAGCATTAAAACACAAAGATTGAGTCTTGCTGAAAAATTCATGATGAAGAAAGAAAAAAATTCCCAAAGAGCCAAAACCACACAAAAGGGTCCTGTCCCAGTCTTGATCATGGCAACAAGAGCTGCAGAAAGGGCTAGTGTTCCTTTGCACATCATGCCCACAAGGCACCCCAGCAGTGCTGAGCTACACTGAACACAGAAGAATTTTCCAAACACCCACAGGGGGATGGAACAGGTGGATGATGTAACTGGAGAGTTTAAGACAGAAACATTTCACTCTTTGCCAAGACACCACGTGAACCCCTCTTACCCCAGCTGTTTTAATACTCCCAGGCACCAAGAGAGGCCCTAGCACAGCACAACAACCCTGTTCTGCTCATACCTTGTGTCTCCAGTTGTACAAGATACCACTGTAATTTTCTTTTCTACAAAGCCCACTATAATTAATCTTGGATATAAATGCCATTATGGTTAAAAGTGGTTTGTTGGTTTGTTTTCTCTTTTGGTTTTTCCCCCTCTCTTGGGATTTTTAGGTTTTGTTGTTGTTGTTGTTGGTTTTGGTTGGGTTTTCTTGTGTTGGTTTTGGTTTTGTGGTGGATTTTTTGTTTGGTTTTTGGGGGTTTTTGTGTGTTTTGGTTTTTGGTTGGCTGGTTGATTTTTTTCATATTAACTTCTACAGCAAGTCTCTTGCAGAGGAACAGAACAGAGCAATATGGGGTCCTGGCAAGGAAGCACTATCATACATCTCCTGTCAAGTCAAATTGAATTTTTCTATATGAAGCATCTATTATTGCCCACCTGGGGGGTTGTGGACAGATTGAGGAGTTTTCTCCCCCACTAGGCAACTCAAGATTGGGGATGGGACAGTTGGGGGAGGAAATAAAAGTAATCTATCTGAGAATTCCCTGTTGCTTGCAGCCCAGCTGTTCTAGCCAGTTGTAAAAGGGAGGGTAGTTTAGGAACTTGATTCCTTCTAAATGAGTTTACAGAGGTTGGGAATGGCACTTCCTGAAAGACAGGCTAGCAAAGCATCAACTTCTGCAGCACAGAAATCCACCCAAAAACTGTAGCAGAGATTAACAGATTGACAGATTATTCTGAGTTGGAAGGGACCCAAAATGATCAGAGTCCAACTCTTAAGTAAACTCAGCCCACAACCTTGGTGTTATGAGTTATTAGCACAAAATGAGATAACCTCAGGGTCAGGAATCAATAGGGTCACAGGTAGTGGAATGGAAAACCAGGGATTTATCCTTGCCTGTCAAGAGCAGAAACCCTCCCAAGAACTGGAAAGCACTGGACTAGTGAAGAAACACTCCCTGAGTACACATCTCCCTTTGCAGCCACGTCCTCCACTGCTGTCCCACATCACACAGGTACCTCAGGGGACAAAGGATGCACCTGTCAGCAGCCTTGGTCCTGAGCTCACCTGAGCCCTGCTCCTCCTTCCATGCAGTTATCTCCTTCTGATGTCCTCAGAGCAGTGACTCCCTGGCCTTAGTCCTTACCTAGCAGGGAAATAAAGACCTAAATATGCTTTCTTACCAGGGAGACACTTTGGAATTCCAGAGAGAGCAGCTCCAGTGGGTTCAGCTGGAAAGTCTCACAGAACCTGGCAAGCACAAGGAGTGCTGGGCTCCGAGCTCCCTGCACAGCAGCCTGTGGGTAAAGCCCGTGCTGTTCACAGAACACACTCGTGGGCAAGCCTGACACACTTGAGGAAGAGATGTCACAGGTACAGATGTTATAGATACATTTTATATTGTTGGCTTTTCGCAAATATTAAAATGAATGGTATGTGTATAAGAATGAGAAATTTTGTTGTATTAATATAGTTTTCTTTATTTCTGTTATTGATGAAATTTAGAAATAGTACTATAATACATATATGTTAGGCTATGGCATAGTATTAAAATAAAAACTGCTTTTGTTTGTATAACCCAAAGACTGAGGAAAAAAAAATAGCTAGAGAACTCCTGAATTTGTAAACTCTCTTATCCAGATGAAGACAGCAGTGACCAGAACTCTGGGGGGAGGAATTTATTGCATTTCTGGTATCAGGGAATGTAAATCTCGATGGTGCCAAGAAGATTGATCTAATGGGAAGGGGGCAAGAGAAAACTAAAGAGAAGAACACCAAAGATCCTAAGAAGAATGGATGAATATGTATGAGAATTTATGGATATGTAGTAGGGTTCTGTTTTTAAGGGACAATCCTTTGTTAGCAAGGTGTGCTCTCTTGGCTGAGTACAGAGACACCTGGCTGTATCTGTATACTTTATTTTTTTCTCCTAATTGTCTTTTTTATTAAATTTAAAATTCTATAAAAATTATGTGAACCTCGTTTTTCACACAGAGAAGCCAGCCACAGCCAGGCAGGCCCAGCCGGGGGCTGTGTCACCCTCCTCGAGCCGTGTCCCTGGGCTGTGACAGCAGAGGGCACTCGGGCTGCAGGAGATGCACAGGAGCTGCAATGTACAGCTCTGGGTGCTGCGGTTTGGGTCTGCTGCTGAGCCCTGCACCTTGTTCTCGCTGCCTGCAGCTTAGGCTCGAGTGAGTGTTTGCTTCTCCCCCTCTTGCAGTGCCTGCTGGCATGGTTTGCAGCGCAGCCTTTGCTGCACAGCCCCCAGTGCTTATCCCTGCCATCTGGGACACCTGAGCACATTCTGGGAGGATTGTTGTCTCTTGGACAGCAGACACAACACACCTATTGCATGCAGGCAGCCTTTTAATCTGCAGTGAGTAACCAGAGCACTGAAAGCTGCCTGAACATAGACTAAAGCCTTTCAAATTCAAGTGGAAGCAGCACAATTTGCTCAACACTATCCTAGAGCGTTGAAGTATCACTCAAATTAGTGACATGCCTTTCCTTGCAGAGTATTTTCTAACCTTATTGCAGCCCACAAGACTCAGAAGAGTCTCACTCAGAGCAGCAGGGCTGTGTGTGTCTCCCTGTGCACCGTGCCCAGGCACTCACAGCCCCTCTGCCCACTCCCCTGCATCCCTCCCCAGCCAGGCAGGAGTCCCAGATCCATCCCACTCTGGCTGACCTCCCTTGCAGGCACTCAGAGCAGCTCATCTGGAGCTGGTATCTGTGCAGACCCATTAACCACAGTGCAATCAGTGCTCCCTGAGAGGCTGCAATAAAGCCCTGAGAGCTCTCCCTGGACTGATGGATCAGGGGAAACAAATCCACTGCTGCAGGACTCGGGCACTGACAGGGAGGGGAGGAAGCTTTGGCAGCGCCGTGCCTCCCACAGAGCACATTGCAGATGCTCAGAAGCACTAAATGCAGCGGGATATAAAAATCCAAGCCTCCCTGAGCACCAAGCTTCTTCTCTGAAGAGCTGAGGGTAGAGAAAGGATGGTATCAGAGCTGTGCTACTTGCAATCCTTGCTGAAGGTCCTGAAGTCAGGCAGTGCTGTTTCCACCTCACCACACATAGTGCAGCTCCTCTCGTTAATATTGACACACGAAGCACTGCAAAATGAAG